TTGCCGACGTGAAAACCGACCGTGAGAAAATCAGAACGGAAAAATATAAAAATATTTCGCGACAAGAACGTGAAGACCCGTCACGCGCGATCGCCGCTAAATGTACGCGAAAAACTCGCGAAAGACTCGCCAACGAAGTGACGTGGACGCGGAACGCAGGCGACGATACCGGAGTGACCGACGCGAGCGAACTGACGCGGTGTCGCCGAGTTCCCGACGGCGCGGCGATGTCGGCGGCGGCTTTCGATTTTCGTGGACGGTTGCCGTCCCTCGCGCGCGCAACAATCGCGCCGCCGTCGTCGTCGTCGCGCCGTCCCGTACCGACGCGGCCGCGAGGGCGATGTATCGATATAGGTGACGGTGGCCGCGTATTTACGTAGACGTGGGGAAAACCCGAGCGATAATCGGACGCGATTGTGCGTACCGCGGGCAGGTCGAGAAAATCTTTTTCGTCCATATCGGAGTCACCGCGTCAGCTAACCTGCCTGGTCATTGCGTCTACGTGGTCAGGTATATTATACGACGTGGTACAACACGGTAAACTGCAGTGCACTTGTACAACCGCACTGCACCGGTGCAGAACAGGTGCATGTCTAATGCACATGATTTTATCACTTTAGTGGACGGCGGGAAAATATATAGTGGAGTGAGCGGCGAGGGGACAGAGTTCTTTACGATGGTAATAATAATAATAATAATAAATTAATACCGACGACAAATAATGGCACATTGGCACTGCTACAAGAACATATTCCCGAAACGTACGAACGATCTTAGTGCGCGACGTTTTCCACGAAATGTCTCGGTTATTTCTGAGATAAACAGCTTTTTGGGAATTTTCTTTAATATATTTCATCTGCTTAAAATAGTTATAATAATAGGTAACCAAAATATTTATCTAGAAAATCTGATGAAAAAAAAATATTTAACATTTGAGGCTACAAGTTTGAGTTAAGCCAATCACTAAGGTACATACCAGTGGTCATACAAACTTCTATTTTTTGAAATTAGAACCTCCTTTCTTTTACTATAAATTATTTAGTGCATCATTTCATGAAAACTCTGATGTAGATAATTTAGATAATAAGATAATTTTATTAAAATGTAGAATGTATATTGTATATACTATAAAGGATAAAAGTCATTAAAAATGGTTTTACAAAACTATAAAGTAGATGCAATATTGTAATATATCGTATTAATTGTATCATACTTGGACCATTTTTCTAAATTATTAATATTGATAGAATTATATAAATCACCAATATTTTCAAATCACCCTAGTCCCAATATATTTCTAACTCATTATTATGGACCTATTAATTATCCTTAGCAAACACAAAGTTAAATAGCTAAAAACTACGCATTAGAATTTTGATTCTAATTCGTTAATATTATCAGGTAAATAATTTACATAAGAAAAGAGGGATTCTCACTTTAAAAACAGAAGTTTTACCTCTACAGCACTACCATTAAGTAGTACAATAATCTCGATAATTTGAAAACATGGCCTTAATTATGTTTAAAAATTCCAAAAAATCAGATTTTTAATAATTGCATTTATGAAGACAAGTGCGAGTCGGACTCGCGCACGAAGGGTTCCGTACCGTCATCAGCTATAAACATGTTGACAACACTGATCATATTATATATTCTAGGATTTTTAGTATTTGTTATTATAGAGGCAACAGAAATACATAATCTGTGAAAGTTTCAACTTTCTAGCTTTCATGGTTCATGAGATACAGCCTGGTGACAGACGGACGGCCGGACGGACGGACAGCGGAGCCTTAGTAATAGAGTCCCGTAATACCATAAGGAACCCTAAAAAAGGGAGTGATCGTTCTTGGTGTGAATCAACCTGTATATTATTATTTGCACGTGGGGCCTTCGAAATTTGTTTTTCTCTACACTTAGTCATTTCCACAGTCCACGATATTATTATACATTCGAGTGTCAGGGACACGAATTGTAAGGGGAACAAAAATTAATTTGACTTAAATATTTTTTGAGTTACATACCTCACACAAAATAGTTCATTGGGAAAGAAAAAAATTAGAGTTATCAATACTCGACTGCAAGACTTTGTGTAATCGGTAAAAACGTGATTCCCGACGTCGCAATATTATATTATTTGATATAATTATAATATAAACCAGACCAAAGACTGAATAATATATATTTTTTTATGACTTGTCGATTAATTAATAATTATTTTTCTCCGAAACCCACGTAACTTATAATCGTACTTCTTGAATGTTGAATATTATAATGTACCAACTATATTATTTCAAGTAACATTTTATTGATTTGTGTATTTTTTTTTCCAAACCCCATCAAACTTATTATCTATAGGTATAATCGCATCGCGTTCTGAAAGTATACGGCTCGCGCCAAAAACATAAAATATATACAACCTAAACCTAAAGCTGTATATATTTATTATTCGTAAAACACAACACTATCGCGTCGCCCAACGGCTATGTATTTTCTGTTTAATTATTATTGCTACTCTCAATAAATATTTATTTTTTACTTTTAGATTTGGCATTTTTATTTTTTCGATCTCAAACTCTTTACCCGAAAACATGTATTTTTATTTTAGTACTTTGTTTTTAGTTTATTATTTACATCAATTTTATATTTAATTATTCATGGATTACAGTTGTAGAGTTATATAATCAGAACTTTGAAAATATTCCTAACTAGTAACTATGTATACATTTAGATATTATGCCGAATTGACAGTATTTTATGATTTGAACAAACATTTTTATTTATTTTTAAGAAAGCGGCTTATGTTGATAAAAAGTACTTCGCTATAGTAATAAATGTATTATTTTCTAATAATTAAATACTTATTTATTATTGTATAATATTATATATGTATAGCTCTAACATGGAGTTTTTTCAATAATAAGAGTTGTTTATTATTATTAATTGTAATCAAACAAAATTAAAACCAATAATGTAAAATGTAAAAAAAAGTTTTAATAACATTTAACAAGGTTTTTTTTACTTTTAGTACCTATAGTTGATTACATATATGATATAGTGTAGTGCATTATTATATTATCCCGTAGACACGGTATACTATTTAACTTATAACATAGGTATAACATTATTAATAGTTTATACATTTATAATGATATCATTTATTTAAAAAAGCAGTGTACAGTTACATTGCTAAAAACTGACTTAAAAGTAATTGTAATTAATCTGTTTCGTGCTTTGTGAAGCAATGCACTATGGTGTCTTACAAAATATCTTATGTAGTATTTGTTTTGGCTTCTTTTTCTGTCATATTCATGGCTTCTGGCTTAGGATTGTTAGTTCTTGAATAAGAAAACCGACATTTCATAAGTTCAAATTATGAGTTATGTCATTTTAAATAATATAAATTCACTAAAATAGTATATCTAATTTTTTTTTAGTACTTATTTACTGCATGGATAACCATATAAATGAAACATTAATATTTCATGTTAAATTTAAGTTGTGTATGAAGAGTTGAATATATTAAGTATTAATATTTTTTTTTCTTACCCTTCTTCTATACATATTTCAAACATTTAATTACAGAATTACTTAGCAAATAGAAACTTTTTGAATTCCTCATTATAATAGTATTCAGTTCAAACTTTGCACCGTGATATAATTTTTTTTTTTTATATAGTTACACTAATACTCTATTAAACCTGATTTAGTATTAATCGATGTTCAAAAATATTTAAGTAAATTAACGAAAAACATTTTTAAAAAAAGATTTATTTTGGAAAATTAATACTATTATTGAATTTTAGATATATTAAACAGTATGCACATAATATAAACAAAATATATCAACATTACGAGGAAGGCACTAATTTGATAAAGTATAAACAAATTATGCTTTAACATAAAAAGGTGTATACTTACTGTATATTATTTCTGCTACTAACTATTACAACAAAAATAAAATATACTGCCTAGCTAAATTACCAGTCGCAGCTGGGTTACAGACTACAGTATAAAAAAATTAGATTTTTGAATAATTATATCTATTAATGTGTATATAAAAATGGAGCCTGAAAATGTCATTATACCTCATCAATCGAGAACGGCTGGTCCGATTTGGCTCAATTTATTTTTAAGATATTAGTAATTGCCTGGAGAAGGTTTTTAAGAAGAAAATTTTAGGAAAATTCACCTTAAAAGTAGGAAATCTATATGAAAAAAATACAACAGTGGTTAATCGGGCATGTTTGTTGATTTGTATTATTATTTTTGTCAATATATATAATATAATATATACTAGCTGTCCCTTCCACTTCGTTTTCCGTTAAATGTACCAACTCTATATGACTCAAACTTTGTTCAATTCGTTATTTAATATTCGGTGTATGGTGTTCAATATTCATCTTAACTTTTCTGTTGCCTGGAACAAAAATTCTGATTCGCAGCAGTATAATATTATCAGGTAGGCAATCTACCTGCGGTAGATCTCGGACCCAGTGCTGTTTGTACGTAAGTGTATGATTTAACTCTAAAGTATCAAAGTTATACCAATTATGTCACTGAACTTCTCCTAAACGGCTGGACTAATTGTGAATGCCGAGTCCAAGTATAATCTGACCAATATTTCCCCCACTTCCACGAAGACGTGGCATTGTTTTATGTACTTAACTTATATGTGAGTACAATACGCTCAATATTTACTTAATTGCGATACATATAATCAGTGGCGTACCCAGGATTTTCAAATGGGGGGGGGGGGGGCTAAACAAAGTAAATTCAAATTTGACATCATCTTAACAAACAATTTTCAATAAAGTCTTATAACAGTTAATTGTAATATTTCATTATAATATAATTCTTATAACACATACATAATATATTAGTGATATATTTAATTAGTAGGAACTAGGAAGTAGGGACTGATTTATTATACAAAATATGTTATACGATAAATTATTTTATTTTATATAGGTAACTTCAAAATACATATTTTATTTTTTACATTATTTGCTCCAGTCTTCTAATTGCATCCTTCTGGGTGCCTTTGTGGAAAATAATTTAATTATTTCATCCTCACAGAGTAGTTCTTTTTTGTTAATATTTGTTAATGCCAATCCATTGAGTCGTTCTTCCGACATGGTTGAACGTAGATATGTTTTTAATCGTTTTAGAGTTGAAAATGTACGTTCAGGCGTCGCCGAGGTGACTGGCAATGTCGCAAACAATTGTAAAAGTATTTTTATATTTGGTACGACAGTTGTGCAATGGGGTAATGTATCAATAGCTGAATCTGTTTTAATTTGCTTATTTTTCCATTGGTGTCTCCAAATGCGCAACTCTGCTTTAAGAATAGAATTATCATCAGTTGAAAGATCTTGAGCATAGATAGAAGCCGCTTTCAAAATAGTTTCATCATCGTACATATTAAAATTTGATGGAATGAGTCCCTGTAAAGGTATTATATCACTAAGTCGTTGATTAAATCGTGCATCCAATTCTTGAAGGATGAAATCAAGAAAAGGAAGAAACACTGATACTTTGAAGTATGTCTCTGGATCTTTTGAATTTACATTTATTCTTTGTGTTTGCCTACCACATATCCGTGGCATGCATATTTCTACATTTGCTAAATTTGCAATATCAGAAACATCCTTAAAAATTTGTGTTAAAGTTGTCCATCTGCACCTTCTCGAAGCTCTTCTAGTGCACTGCGAATAACCATTACGTCGGATAATGCTTTAGAAATATCTAGTTGTTTGCTCTGAAGAGAAATACTGAGTTGTAAAGTGTAGGCAAAACAAGTTACTGTAACTTCAAGTGCAACGAGAAAATCAATTTTTGTCACTGAATTTAAATATAATGCTGCTTTGCATGAGCTTTCAGGATTAGGATCATGTGAAATATCTTCAAGAGCATGCACTACATAAACATACAATTGTTTAAATGGTACCATATACGGAACGTTTATTCTTTGGCTAATATTATGTCGTTGTTACTTAAGATAATACCACAGATTATATAAAAAATATATATATAATATATTATTTAATCTGTGATAATATGTTGTGTACTCAACACTGTTTTTAGTAATATCGTGGTTTGTACTTTGTATTTTATAAAATAAAATTTATTCCATAACACGGCCAATGGGGGGGGCTGAAGCCCTCTAAGCCCCCCCCCCTGGGTACGCCACTGCATATAATATCAAAACACAGAGTACAAAAAAATTAAATGCATTGAATGATTTCAAATGATTTCACAGCAACCAATAATTATTTATTATAATAGTTTTAAAAACCAACCATTTATAAACAAACAATTCCACCGTAAATCTCTAAATCCCCATTTGAGCACATCCCCAGGCTGGACCTAAGGGGATGATTTGTAGCCTATGTGTTATTCTGATGTATAAGCTATATTATTGTAAAGTTTCATTAAGATCCATTCAGTAGTTTTTAAGTGAAAGAGTAACAAAGAAACAAACTTTCGAGTTTATAATATTAGTAAGATTATATATACTATATATATACTATATATATATTATTATATATAAATTAATCTTAGGGTGTATATAGACCTCTTGAAGAAAGACAGGGCTAATTTAAAAATGGTTAAATTTGGTTTTTTTTATTCATCTGATATTAGTACCAGGGGCGCATTAAGGGGGGGGGGAAGGGGCATTTTCACCGGGCGGAAGTTTTTTGGGGGCGGTACATTTTTGTAATTTTTTTTTTTTTTTGTATCTCAGAGTCAAAAAGAAAACATACAAATTGTATGACATAATGGAAAACTCGCTTGTTTAAGAAACAACTAATAATAATTAGTATTATCATAATAATGTACTATTCTTTTGTACTTATTTTTCTTGGGAAGAAACAAGAAAAAAAAAAAGAACAGCATTTTACAATGATTCTAATTTTAATAGTACTGTTCACATTGGAAAAAATAAAATGAAGAATGATATTTTTTATGTGATCATTGATACATTATGTTCAAATTTAAATGAACGAAAGGCAGCCTATCTAGTTATTAATAAAAACTTTAGTTTTTTGTTTGATTTGAATCGTTCGGACACTTTAAGTGTTCATCAAAGTGTATTGAACATTGTAAGTATATATACTGAAGATTTGAATACATCATTTGTTGAAGAAGTTATTCAATTCAAAAAAATTACTGAATCATATCACAATAATGATTTATCTATGAACGGACTGTTAAAAAAATTATCTAGTTCTCCATTAAAAGCTACCTTTCCTAATGTTCTTATAATTTTAAGAATCTGCTTGTATGCCTTGTACCAATGCGAGTGGTGAACGATCATTTTCAGTGCTTCAACGAGTTAAAAATTATTTAAGATCCACCTTATCTCAAGATAAAACATCTTCCCTTTCATTGCTGTCAATAGAAAATGAGATGCTTAGAAGTATTGATTGGTCAAGTATTGTAAAAGAGTTTGTGAACAAAAAAATAAGAAAAAAAATATTTTAATTAGATAGTATTGTTCCATATTTGTCATTTAAATAGTTTTATAATATGTAATAATATTTTATTGTTAATAAAGAATAAAGAAATATTTATTATTATAAGTCAATGCTTAATACATAGGTACTCCATAAATAACTAATAATATAGGAGTTGCTTACTAGGAGGTATTTATTAGTTAATGAAATATAAACATTTTACATAATAAATATTCCAATTACCAGTAATATTTTAAAAGAAAGGATTATTATTCCAAGTTCTAAATAGATATTTATTAATTAATTTAATAAGATTTCTATGTAGGTATAATAACTGTATGTAATGTAAGTTACTAACTTAATTTTGCGAGCCTAGCGAGGAAATTTTTTTTAAGTTTTTATACTTTTATTAATATTCATAAAATACCTCAGGACCAGGGGCGCAAAATAATTTTGCCCCCCATATGTGAACCCTTAATGCGCCCCTGATTAGTACGGTAAGGTTAGGTTAGGATTTTGTATTAATTGATTATATTAATCCACCATGGGTGGAACACGACAAACTTGGTATAACTTTAATACTTCAGAGTTAAATCATACACTTACGTCCAAACAGCACGGGGTCCGAGATCTACCGCAGGTAGATTGCCTACCTGATAATATATTGATGCCAATCTGAATTTTTATTCCGGGAAACGGAAAAGTTAAGATACATTTGACACCATAACACCCAATATTAAATAACGAATTGAACAAAGTTTCAATCAAAGTCATATAGAGTTGGTACATTTAACAAGCAACGAAGTGCACGGAATCAGCTATACATAAATAAAAATTATAAATCGTTATAATAATGCGCCATTAATGTTGAGGAAAAACTTAAAATAGAAAGACGAAAGTACTTTATTTTCTTAAGTTTTAATAACATTTATAGATATACCGCATACTCAAAACAATTTCATAGCCGGGAAACTGCAAATATTTCACACCCGAATCAAAAAATTGACAAACAAATGAAAATTTGAATGAGTTGGTGTGGTATTATTATTATTATTATATAGAATTCTCTATAAACTATATTAATTGTACCTATCTTTTTTGTTGTTTGGTATTATTTATAGGTACCTATTTTTAATTTTTCAAATACCTAACTCCGAACATGGTCACGTAAAGTTTACCATGACTAAATATAGAGTGGGTTAAATGCTAAATACAATACCCTACTTTATAAAATGTTTGACCCTGTGCTTTGTTTGTTGTCATAGCAAAATCTATTCTTATTAGAAATTGGCGTCTAGTGAATGAAAAGGAAAGAGTAGAATCTGACAGGGTCAAATTAATTCTAGGCAATAAATGCACTGGCCAGTATGGTTTTAAAAGTCTAAAGAATGGTCGTACATACTTCGTACAATAAATCTTGTACCATTCGTATTCATTAGATTGGGCACTAGGTTGGATTTTTAAATTTCTGAAGAGTATTACGATACTACCTTATTGTTTTACTACCAAACTGTGTGGAGGTAAACCACTAAAATGTAAACAATCTAAAAATTCTGTAGGAAACAGAAAATGGTCAGTCTTTTGACACTGTGGTTGAAACTTAAATCTGTTTAATTGCCCTGGCAACATGTTAACAACATTGCATTATTATTTCATCACAAGTGTTCCCACGTGTTATTAATAATTATTGGTCTTAGGATTCAATTTCCCGTGCTCGATTTAGCTGTGTTCCTAGGCTGCAAGCCCAACGATTGTAAATACATTTTGTAAATTGATTTTAGCTTTTTTAACAAGCAATTTAAAGTAGGTAATAAATTGACGGGTTTAATTTATATTCCTATAAATGCGATGAGTGTATTGGTTTTGAAATGATATGTTTTTTTTTGTGTCTGGAGAAACACTTTTTACCAAAATAAATTGATTATTCAATTGAATTCGATATTCAATCGTGTTAAGTAAGTACACCGATTTCTCCTCAAACTGTTTTTGTAATTTTGTTGCAATTCAAAAATTATCAATCATGGAAACAAGAAACATTCAACCATTATTTAAGTTATTATTTTTAATTTTTTTAAGAGATGTTCAAAATGTTTTGATTAATTTTAAACAATTTATATATATTTGAAAATTAAGAATTTTTTTAAATTTTTAGATTTTTTCCATGATTATTGTTGATACCTACCATTTTAATTTCTCAGTCAAAAGCGGGACAATATAATGCGAGGTTCCTAATTAATTATTACTATGATGAAACTACATAATATACTTTTTTTTTTTATTGAACAAAATTTTATTTACAATCTGTAATTACAATATATATTACAGTAAGTAAATTGGGATGGGGATGATTAGCGGGAGGGGGAAGTCACCCATTGGTGACACCCATAACATATATACTTACACGATATGTTTTATAGACATTGAAGTTCACATTTAATGAAATTGGAAAAGTACCTATTTAAAGGGGGGAAAAACGATATTTCCTCTAACGATTTTAGTTATTATTTTTAATTAAAACTTTCGCCAGGATGTGTATTTATATTTTATACACACGATAAAATTTCGAAAATATTTATACTAATTTTAAGCTATTTACACAACGATCCTATATTCACTGTCCAGTCTAAGGTACGACGGTATTGACTAACTATAAGTTAATAAGAATAACATAATAGGATTAAATATTATAATACTTATTTGATAATTTACGAGACGTTTTTGGCAAAATAGTTCAACTACTACCGTATGATTAATAAAAAAAATAAACTAATTTAGTAATGATATAAACAGAAATTTATAAAGTAAATAGAGTCCATGTGAACGCCATTTACTCACATAATTATTGATCGTATTCGATGATTTATCCTATAGTTCAATAATTTAACACGTCCATTTCACTATAATATCTGTAACTGATCTCTACAACTACAAGGTAGATACAATAGAAACCTACTATTCAGCAGAGCGACTTCCTCGGTTGCAGTTTTCGTTTACAGAAATTCGATTCCATCAGTCATCAGCTAGTTTAAGTTAATAAAAATGTATGCATCATTTTACTCCACGTAGAATATATTGAAGGTTTTTGACTTGAGCTCGGGTAACAAAATCAGATACTATAAATGATAAAACAATATTATATACCGTCGGTTAATTTTACAAGTTATTATAACATATAGATATAAGCTCCAGCGGTTTCGTCCTCAAGAGACGGACATGATTTTCTGTGTATGTTCCGGTCAGATTGAAAGACAAATTGATTAGGGACTGCCAGCGAGTGATTACGAACGTGACATTCCCAAAGGACAAGTCGGTGATCTATATTCGATGGTGTTTTCGTAAAACGCAGCTCTTGCGGTTTTTGCAGGAACACACTAATTTATAATTAGACACAATAGACAATAATACTTGGAAAACTTTTGACGGAAATCAACGAATAAAAGAACATTTACTTTTATTATTAAGCAATTGGGGCACGATAAAATATGACAGTGTA